ATCACTCCCACAGAGAATGCATTTCTTAAATCTACTTCAGTTTTCCTTTCTCTTCCACTGCAAAATAGTTCTTGTTCAAGGTCAGGTCGCTGACCTCCATATTGCTAAATCCTTGGTCAATTCCCGGTTCCCATCTTACTGGACCTCTCACCTGCATTTGCCACAGCCAGTCACCCCCTCCTCCTTAATACAGTTTCTTCAGCTGGCTTGTGGCACATCCCATTCTCTTGTTTTTTCCTCCTATTTACTTGTTGCTCCTTCTCAGGTCCTTGCTGGTTTCTTTCTTCTTGCCTTCCTCTTAATATTGGAGAATCCCAGGGCTCAGTGCTTGATCCTCTTCACTACCTGTACTCACTCTCTTGGTGATCTCATCAGACATCCTGGCTTTAAGTTAATCCATGTACCAATGATTCCTTACTTTATGTCTCTACCAAAAGTCTCTCCTGGACTCCAGACTCATAACTGCTTACTTAATTTCCCCACTTGGATATTTATTTAATGGACCTCCCACTGTAAACATATCCAAGATTCAACTTTTGAAATTCTTCCCCCAAACTGCTTTTTCCAAGGTCTTGTCCTTCTCTATTTTTCTTATACTTCGCTAATCCATTAGCAAGTTCTGATATCAAAATAAATCCAGAATGTTCCTTGGTATTTACCCAAATGAATCGGAAAAAAAAACACAAAAAAAACACCTAAACGTCCATACAAAACCAGCATATGGATGATTATAGCAGCTTTATTCATAATTGCCAAAACTCGGAAGCAACCAAGATGTCCTTCAGTAGGTGAATGGGTAAGCTGTGGTACATCCAGACAATGGAACATTATTCAGCACTAAAAATAAATGAGCTATTAAACCATGAAAAAGTATGGAGGAAACTTAAGTGACTGTTACTAAGTGAGAGTAGCTAATCTGCAAAACTATATATACCGTGTGATTCCAACCATATGACATTCTGGAAAAGGCAAAACTATGGAGACAGCAAAAAAAAAGCCAGTGGTTGCTAGGGGTCAGGGGAGGGAGGGATGAATAGTCAGAGCATAGAGGATTTTTAAGGTATCGATGCTATTATGTAAGATACCACAATAGAGGATACATGTCATTATATATTTGTTAAAACCCACAGAATATACAATACCAAGAGTGAACCCTGATGTAAACTATGGAATTTGGGAGATAATGATGTGCCAGTGTAGGCTCCTCAGTTGTAACAGGGGCACCCCTGGGGTGCAGGATGTTGACAGAAGAGGAGGCCGTATGTGTTGGGGGGACAGGGAGTATATGGACACTCTCTGTAATTTCCAGTAAATTTTGCTGTGAACCTAAAATTGCTCTAAAAATAATGTCTGAAAAAAAAATCCAGATTCTGCTACCAGCTTGGTGGGAGCCACCATCTCACTCTCTCCTGAATAACCACAATTACCCTCTGACTGGGCTCCCTGCTTTGGCTTTGTCTCACTGCATTCTATGCCTATCCTAGTGGCCTGAGAATTCCTGCTAGAACCAGAGTCAGAGCCTGTTACTCCTTGGCTCCGCCCCCTCTGATGGCTTCCCAGCCTACTCAGAGAAAACCTGAAGTCCTGATCATGGCCTTCTAGCCCCTTGCTAATCCCCGTCCTCCTCTCCTTCTCATTCGCTCTGCTGCAACCATACTGGCCTCCTTGCTGTTCCTCTAACACACCAGGCACACTCCTGCCTCACGGCCTTTGCACTGGCTGTTCCCTGTACCTGGAATGCACTTCTCCCATGTAACCTCACAACTCCCTCCTTCATCTTCTGCAAGCCTTTGCTCAGGTGCTACCTTCTCAAAGACACCTTCCTGTTCACCAGTTAAAAACCGTAACTTGCCCACCACTTGCACGCTGAGCTCCCTTACCTGCTCTATTTTTCATATCACATCATTTTTTAATATACCATTATTATTGACTCACTTTTTTATTTTTTATTTACTTTGTCTCCTCTTGACAAAATAAAACACCCATGAGGACAGTGATTTCTGTCTCTTTCATTCACTGATGTATCCCGAGTACTTAGAACAAGTACCTAAGCTCATATTAGGTGCTTAGTCAGAGTTGTTGGATGAGTGAGAGTCTCCCTACCACCCCCAACTTCAGGTCCTTCTGTGCAGTTTCTGCTTCCAAGGATGTTCTAAGCATATACAAACAGGAGATTAAAATGTAAGCCCGTTCTTATATTTTGCTATGCTGTAATTCCGTTGCTTACAACCTTCAGTAAAGCTCCTCTTTTAGTGATACCTGGGAGGACTGAAGGAATGGAGTGTCCTGTGTGTGGCGAGTGGGACAGAGAGTTGGTAAAGCATCAAAGAAGGTGAGTCACAGAATGGAGAAAAATAATTCAACAGAAACACAAAATCAGAATAAGAGATGACCAGAAAAAACATATGGTCCTAAAGAATCCTTGGTGTCATTTGAATAATGGTATATATTCTGGTTGCCTGCTCATTTACTATTCTATTCGAATGATAAATAAAAGAGCCACCATCCGCTAAGGCTCGAAGACTTGGGAATATCTAGACAGCAAATGTCTTGATGAGAATTGAAGAATTGCCCTGTTTTTTCGTGTCATTACGCCGATGGAAATATGACCGGGAGCAAGCTCTTAAATAACTGCTCTTTAGTTCCTTCTTTTTTTTTTTCCCTTATTGCTTTTATGAGACAATTTCAGTTCTGTGGCCAAAGGGGTGGGTGGAGGGGGCTGGGAGATTGTGGGGTTGTTGAAATTCTTCAGGGTCTTGCTCTGCGGGTCCAGAGACAGGCTCCACTTCCCCCACCTCACGATGCAGTGTTTGAAAACACTAGGACTCAGACTGCAAGGCAGAGCCGACTTTCTCCGATGATTTTTCAGCAGCTCCTGTATGTTTCCTTCTGTCTGAGATGCCTGGAATTGCAGGTCTGGAACATGTATTAGTGGAGTAATGTCTGAGGAGAAAAGAAGGACGATAACATGGAAACAGGCTGCCATGGCAACAGTTGCAAAAATAAACAACTTTTCCCCCCTAGGAAAATCATAGAGTTTGGACTTGTGACAACATTAGGAAGGGGAATAAGTAATGCCCAAGCTATCTCGTGCTTGGCTTGATATTTTTTCTCCTGGGTTGAAGAGATTTCCTAAGTGCCTCATTGGGCAAATGGAGGCAATTATGCGTCATTCAAAATCTCATATGTTTTTCTAGAAATTTTTTTAAAGGAAAGCAACTCAGAATGTGTGAATTGGAAAGTCAAAATCATCTTTCCCCCTTCTCACTGTTACTCTTCTGGGATAAAAACTACTATAGAAACAGTTATAACATACTTATGTACATGCAAATGTATTGCTAAGTGGTTTGGTTTTGGGGTTGGTTGTTATTGAGTGGGTGAGACTTAGTAGGGTACAGTTGGTAATCAGTACAATTTCCTCCATTGCTTACTTTAGCTCTGAGTGCTCTAATGATGTCCTTTCTCAGTCTCTTAAAGGCATCTTAGATGGTTTTGTAGCTTTCTGATCACTGGCAAGTATTAAAAAGTCCAGTCCAGTCCAGTATAAATTAAATTAGTCTCTCATCTAATTCAAACTTTCCCCACCACCCCTGGCCCCAGCTCAGTGCTGACCAGGTAGAGAAGGAAAGCTGGCAGTGATATGATCTGTTCTTTTAAACTTCTTGCACTCCCATGTCCTTTGTGGCTTTTGGCTCCTCCAGCATGGGGAAGACGGAATTAGAAGAACAAGGGGCAGTCGTATTTCACTGGCACTGTTGTAATCTGTGGCAGATGCCCTAATGCTGGCTCTTCAGAGACCCCATGACCCTCACTCCACAGGAGAATTAATCTCCTTTATACCGTTTGATGAATTTATTGCTCCCCAAACCTGGGCCCTACCCCTGGGGTACACCCTGAGGTCTATTTGCCTCTGAGCTTCATTCGTCACTTGTTTGGCCCAGTACTGCCCTCAGACTTGGGCAAGAAGGGTGCCAATCCTGGACCTAACCCCTTAGAGGACCCCACTTTGCCTTTTTCTATCTGCAGCCGTTCATCTGGGTGAGAAATCACCAGATCCAGGAGGGCGTTCCCACGTGGAGCTCAGGCAGCAATTCTAGTCCTCGTTTTGGATAATGGGATCCCAGAATTCCCTGCCTGAATGGCCTCAGGCCCACTTCCAAAGCCTTTGTGAGACCTTCTTCTTCAGGTTCACCTGGGCTTCATTACAGGTGTATATATCCTGAGACCTAAGGAGTAGGCAAGGGGTGCTGCTTGATGGGAATGTGGATGGAACTCGTGCGTGCGTGTGTGTGCACGGGCGCTGCAGCAGGGACCCAAGGGTGGGAAATGAGGGGAGGCTTGGCAGGGCCAGCTCTCACTGTGCTTTGCATTTGGGAGTGAATTCCAAGAATGATGAAAATCCTCTGTTTGAATCCAGCTTCCCAGGTTATGATGGAAGTATTTTTGTCAAAGGAGGATGATAGAACATGTTTTATTTAGCTCGATTAATATCTTAAAATATTTAGACATAGGGTGTGTGAGCCTCCATTTGTATTCTTGGTCTGAGCCCTGGAATCTTAGGGGTGGCCATGACTAAACCCATAGGAAAAGTCATACCTCCCAGACATCCCAGCCTTTGGAGTATAGGTGGGTTCTGCCGCTGTCCTCACTCTATCCAGCATCACAGGTAGCTTCAGCCAGCCTCCCACCTTTACTCTTTTCCAGGCTAGAAGTAGGCATTTCTATCTCCCTGTCCATACCACTCATGCTTTAAGGATTACCTTTCAGATTCTCCCAGAATGCTCTTGTGCTATACTCAGCCAGCAGCAGCTGGTGGTGGGCTTGTGACTTGTTCCCAGGACACATTAAGTCAAAGGGTGAGATGTGGCTGCTTCTCCTAATAGGTAAACCCAGATTTCATGAGTGGTTCTCTTAGGGAGTATCTTCCTCAGTTTGAAGGGGGGGGGAAAAGAAAAACGACTGTGCTCTCTATTTCTATGAATTCCCTTCCAAAGATCTTCTCTAATGGATCTCGACCTTTTCTTATATGACCCGGAGGTGGGCAAGGGGGCTTGGTAGTGAAGAGCCTCTTTGTATACCTCATACTAGACTTGTGTGAATGTGTCTGGAATTTCTGTTTAGAATATGTGTGTATCTATCACCTAGTTGTTTTCAGCTTTAGCAGAATTCAAAAGCAACAGGAAAAGTCCCGTCTGGTAATCTATTACACATACATTACCTACTCATGTGTAGTCATAAACTTGGCTTTTGTATTTGGATGACAGTTTATGTATTTCTTCAACAGCTGCATAACATTTTATATGGTACATGTGGCTGTACCACAATTTAATCACTCTTACCTCAATAGTTATTTATGTGGGTTTTTGATATTACAAATAACGCTGCAGTGAATAATCTTTAACATATATTCTTGTACCCTTATGTGAATATTCCTAGAAGCATGATTGCTGACAGAGGGTCCATACATTTTGATAGGAAGCACATTTTGTATCTTAATAGGTGGAACCAAATTACTCTTCAAAAATTTTTACTAATTTATGCTCCTACTGAAAGTATCTGGGACTATCCTTTTCTCCAGACCCCTGTTTACATTGAATACTGTCAAATTAATCTAATTGGTGAAAATTATATCTCATTGCTATTTTAATTTCTATTTCCCAGATCACTAGTGAGATTGAACATCTTTTCATACATTTACTAGTCATTTGGAGCTCTGTGAATTATGTTTATGTCCCTTGATAATTTTTCTTTTTTTCATATTTAGAACTTTTTGTGTGTTAGTCATAACCACTTGACTATAAAATATGTTGTTTTTCCCCATCTGTTATTCTCAAGATCTTTTATCATTAATAGACAGACTCCTGAGACCAAGGGATTAGTCTGCCTTGAATTGACTTTAGATTGGTGTCTCTGGAAGATAACGAATTGTATTAGTCACACTAGTCTAGCTGCTAGCATCCTCCAATTTCTGTAGCTAATTCAGTAGAAGTTTATTTTTCACTTTTGCAGCAGTCCAACATGGGTGTTCTTGGTTAGCTCATTAGTATTTAGTCCCAGCACCAAGCAAAGGAAGACAGGAACTTCTCCACAAACTCCTCAGGCTCCAGTGATGTCCTTGACCTTGGGCAAATTACTTTCTCTCCCTGGGACATTTTTTTCCATTTGGAAAATGGGATGGAGTCTGTGTGGCGATTCGTTCTTCCAGCTCTTGACTTTTAGGAATCTAAATAGGATGCGTGAAAACCTAAATTTGTGGGAAAAGGCGGGTTCTGCCACAGTGTGATCAGGGTCTTCCCATTACTGAGGTTATGTATAACCCAGTATTTTTGCAGTCCAAGACTGCTCAAGACCTTGACGTCTTCCTTGCCACTCACATGAGAATCCAAAGATGTCCCACGGAAATGCTTACTGCTGTATCCTGGTAGCTTCACTGCCTGGTACTCCTCCACACTGCAATCCTACCACATCTCTTCTTTCTCTCTTTTGGCCTCTTAATTTTTGCTTCCTCCTATCAAATAAACCCATGTTGATGGTCCCTTGGCTTTGAATTCCTTTCTATAGCACAGAGTCCCTCACATACCAGAGTTCATGGTTAAGTTCTTATCAGTCTTGTAAAGGTTCAGATAGAGTCTCAGATGTCTCATGGAGAGTTATTGTGCACCATAGCACTTGTCCTTGTTTTTCTCTTTGACCAAACTTTGGAGAGTGGCAGATGATGGTCAAATGAACTCTAGCTCCAAGAGGCCAAGAACCAGTTCTGTAGGAAGGTGGTATGAACGTGGCCTTTCCACTGACTAGAGATTTGATAGAGGTAGAACAGACACGTGATAGGTCCTGGGGCTATCTTGAAGAATTCATTTGCCACATGTTTTGCTAAGATGTGAGGAGTTTGAAGATCAAGTATACATTGACAGTGGCCAACAGGGTCTTGGAGCTGGAGAGGGCTTGGAAGAGGTCTTGGCTGATGTTCTGGTCCAGTCTTGAACTCTTATTCTTTAAAGTTCTTCTAATATTTGCAGGTCCAGGATGTTCCTGTGATTACCAGAACATTAGACTGCACTGTTCGGGGCCTTGTATAGGGCTGGGGGTAGTCAAGATGATGGAACGGAATGCTGAAACGATTTTTCTTTGTATCATGTAACCCTTTCTAATTCAAAAATTAGGAAAAGGATAGTAGTTATTGAGGGAAGTGTTATATTGGTTAATTACCTCTTCAGAATGACTAGCACTGTCCTCAGTGGATATCAATCTACACTTTGACCCAGCCTTAATTTCTTCTTCTTTATTGGATACATCTGGGAGAGAAAAATGAATTTACCAATCCAGAGCAAC